CATTTCTTATTATTGTATTGAGCTTGTCACCACAGAAGATAATCTTTATGAGTTTTGTGTTCAAAACAGTCTCAAAGCCTTAATTATCTGAAAATTCATGATGAAAAAAAGTACTATGAACACATGTTAAATGAATAGTCTTTATTTAATCAAATCTTGTAATTTATGCTTTCTCTTCAGGATTTTTCTATTTTAAAAATAATCAGGATAACTTTAACAAATGATTTCCTCACTCAATAACAGTGATTGAATAATAAGTCTCCTTTTCACACTCACTACTGTAGCTTGGAAGTGTAGTAATGGATACAGTTGCTACTACATTTACCATATGGTATAATATAATCTGCCAAGGAGGACAGACATTCCATTACAATAACAAACAATGTAGGCATAGTTTTAAGGCATATAGACAGACATCAGTTAGACATTTTCTTCCTTTTAATTTATGCTACCATTACCATGTAGCATATATGTGTCATATACGCCAGGCATTCACTTTGACACTGAAAACTTGAAGATGTGTGCAACTGAGTCTCTGGCCTGTACAGTCTGGCAGGGAAGGTGGTCATGTAGGCAAATGATTATCATGTGATGTCATAAGTGCAACAAAGTATGTACAAGGTGTCACAGAAGTGCTAGCCCCAGGAATGAGGTCAGGAGACACGGAGAAGGTGGTGTTTGAATTGAGTATGAGGACTTGGTAGGAAATATAGAGTGGTGGTTAAGAGAATAGACTCTGTAGACACAATACAGTATCTGGGTTTCAATCCCAGCTCTACGACATACCACAGAGGAGCCTTAGGCATGTTATTTAGTCTCCGATGCTCTAGGGCCTTCTCTGCAGAACAGGCATATTCACTGGGCATAGTTCATAGGATCAAAGTGAGGGTTCTGTGAGTTAGAATGTATCATGGGTTTAAATTAGTCTATAGTACATGGGAAGCCCTTGGTCAGTGTTAGCAAGTATGCCAAGGATAGCAGAATGAGAGAAAGCAAGGAGACGTGGAGTAGGGCACCTTCGGATTGTTAAAGCTGATGTCTGAGGTGCTGTGGAAGGTGGTGGGAAGTGGCCAGGTGAGTGGACAGATTATGGGGAGAAAGCCTTTTAAGGCCACACCATAGAAGCTAAAGTTTAAGGAGCCACTGGAGTATTTTAAGGAACAAATTTAGATTTGTATTACAGAGAGGTGGGGAAAGAGTAGAGGCCAGGAGATTGGTCAAGAGGCTACTGATAAGATGAGACATGATAACAGCTTGGTGGAGGGAAGGGGAGGGTAGAGTGCAGATTCTAAGTTATTTAGAAGGTAAAAGTGAGTTTTGATGACTGATCAGATTAAGGAGGATGAGATAGAAGAAGTAGTGGAGGACTCTTACATGTCTAGTTTGGATGATTTGGTAAAAAGACAGGAGCCAGGCGGGTCGGGTGCGGCCAGGCCCGGAGCAGCAGCTGCCAGGCTGGGAGCGGCCAGGCCCGGGGGAGCAGGCGGGTCGGGTGCGGCCAGGCCCGGAGCAGCGGCTGCCAGGCTGGGAGCGGCCAGGCCCGGGGGAGCAGGCGGGGCGGGTGCGGCCAGGCCCGGAGCAGCGGCTGCCAGGCTGGGAGCGGCCAGCACCGGGGGAGCAGGCGGGGCTGGTGCGGCCAGGCCCGGAGCAGCGGCTGCCAGGCTGGGAGCGGCCAGGCCCGGGGGAGCAGGCGGGTCGGGTGCGGCCAGGCCCGGAGCAGCGGCTGCCAGGCTGGGAGCGGCCAGGCCCGGGGGAGCAGGCGGGTCGGGTGCGGCCAGGCCCGGAGCAGCGGCTGCCAGGCTGGGAGCGGCCAGGCCCGGGGGAGCAGCCGGGTCGGGTGCGGCCAGGCCCGGAGCAGCGGCTGCCAGGCTGGGAGCGGCCAGGCCCGGGGGAGCAGCCGGGTCGGGTGCGGCCAGGCCCGGAGCAGCGGCTGCCAGGCTGGGAGCGGCCAGGCCCGGAGCAGCAGCAGCCAAGTCCAGAGCAACTAGGTCGGGAGAGGCAGTGACCAGACCCGGAGCAGCTGGTTGTGGAATGAACCAGAGCAACAGAGGCCAGGCCCTGAGCAGCCAGGCCCAGAACAGCTCGCTCCTTGCCTGCCCCTGCCCCACGGCTGCTTCTCAGACATGGCTGGAAACTTTCATGGGAACTTGAGGGTCTGCTGAATCAAGTGATGAAGGCTTAGATCTGGATGTGTTGAGTTAGTTTAGGACTGGGGTGTTGATCTGTGAGTGCCTTGGGTGGGGCCTGGATGAGGCTGGTGGACCTATTGGGAAATGTCTTTTGTGTGAAGTGTATCATTGGGCATGTGGAGGTATTATTGATATGAGAAAATGCTAAGTAACTGATTTACTATCTGAAAAGGGATTTACTATTGGGGAAATTGAGGGAAGAAGAGACTGAACATAAACTGCACCTATGGATGAGGACAATGGGGGATGGGGGGGGGACAGAGGGTGGGGTGGGAACCTGGTGGAGGGGGGAAGAAATGAGGAACCTTTGTAATAATATGAACAATAAAGATTGATTAAAAAAAAAAAAAAAAAAAAAAAAAAAAAAAAAAAAAAAAAGACAGGAGCCAAAACCGGTTTGGCTCAGTGGATAGAGCGTTGCCCTGAGGACTGAGAGGTCCCAGGTTCGATTTCAGTCAAGGGCATGTACCTTGGTGTGCAGGAAGCAGCTGATCGATGATTCTCTCTCATCGATATTTCTAATTCTCTGTCCCTCTCTCTTTCTCTTTGTTAAAAAAAATCAATAAAATATATCTCAAAAATAAAAAAAGCCAGAAGGAAAAGCAGGTTTGGATTTGTCAATATTGATGGACTTCTGGAATGACCAAAATGAGCTGAAAGCCAAGATTTAGGACTTCTCAGATCAAGGTAGTAGTTGAGCCCTAGCCAGTTGCTCAGTGGTTAGAGCATCGGCCGGGAACTGAAGAGTCTTGGGTTCGATTCTAGCCAAGGGCATCTCCGTTGAAGGCTTGATCCCTGGACTCAGTCGGGGCAAGTTCAGGAGGCAACCAATCAATGTGTCTCTCTCACATCGATGTTTCTTTCTCTCCCATTCCCTTCCACTCTCTCTAAAAATACCAATGGAGAAAATATCCTCTAGTGAGGATTAACAACCACAAAAAGGTAGTAACTGACGTTGTGGGAATGTGAGTGAGAGCATTACACAGGTTATATGCAGGAAGAGATTCAGGGATGGTTCTGGAAAACCCAGCATTTGAGAGCCAATGAGAGTTGAGTCAGCAAAGGAGAGTGCTCACAGGGGAAGGGGGAAAATGCTGGAGAGGAAACTCGAGGAAATGTCTAAATGCAAGAGAGAGGTCAAATAGAATGTGAACTAAGGACTGTCCACTGGAGATGGCAATTGGGCGGGAGCTTAAGAAAACTTAAGAGCTGATATCTCAGTGAAATATAACAGTGTAGGGAAAGAGATACAGTGAATCTTCTTCATTAAGACCCTAGAGGTGTAGTTGCTATTTCAGGTCAGAGGCCTTGGATGTGGCCCAGCTTGGGGCCTTGCTGCATGAGGCAGATCTTGCCTGTCCTCACAGAGCTGACTTCCCAAAGCCTAGCAAGCAGTGTGGCCTAGTAGGATGTGCCCACTAAAGATTGGTGGGGAGAACGGCAGAGTCAATGGCAGTGTTGGCAGAGTCCTGGAACTCCTGATATTGGTTGGCTCCAAGAAGCATTAGGAGGCCCCCAGGAGTTGCCCAAGTTCTACTGCCTTAATAAGAACTTCAAAGTCATCAAGTTATACTGTTGATCTGGTAGCTTATACCTGGTCGTGTTGGAGGGCGAGGTAGGGGGAAAGGGCGTTAGAAGTGAGGGTGGTAATACCTCCACTGAGGTTGATTCTGTTCTTAAACACCTTAACTTTAGGGCTGATTCCTGGTTGTGATTTTCTGACGTTTGCTTTATTCTCTCTCAGTTCCTTCCTTCGTGTGTGTGTGTGTGTGTGTGTGTGTGTGTGTGTGTGTGTATGTGTGTGAAAGGTGTCTCATCTCTCCAGTAGGATAGTCAGTTTCTTGCGGGCAGGGACCGCTCCAAAGAGCCTTTTGTAACTGCCTGCAGCATACTTGTCCACTGGACCACAGCTCACTATCCTGGCACCTTCATCCTCACCAGACTTAGAACCAAGTCTGGACGGTTCACCCACCCTGACGTCCTTCAGTCGTGAAAAAATATGTTCCTTACTTCCCAAAACTTACCCTAGGAAGGGTGAACTGGTTGGGAATTTAGAGCAAACAGCTTCGCAACTTAGATACTGCAACTCCCCCCACTAGCCGCATCCAATGTGCGGGGTGCTGGCCGCCCAGTCCTCCTCGCCGGGACCCCCAGGACTCTGCTCCGGGTCTCGCCGTGGCCACTCGTGTCCGGGAAGAGCCTGCGCCACCCTGAAGGGCACTGCGGCTCCCGCCCGGCTGGACCGAGGTCTCCTCCCGCAGGTCCACGTGCAGATGCTGGGACTGGGGGGTGGGGGGAGGCTTTGCCTATTTCCTGCAGCTTTTGCACGGACGGGGTGGCTCGGCATGGAGCTAGCGCCCGGTCTGCTCCCTTCCAGTGACCCCCTCGCTGCACACCTCCCCGGCCGCGGCTCCCACCCCCGGAGCCCGCGTAGACCCGGCCGGGCGGTCCGCCGGCGGAAGGAGCGCAGGAAGCCGGTGCCCGGCGCCCCCTCCCCGCCGGGGCCCGCGGGCGGCGGCGGGAGGATGTCGGCGCGCGCGGAGGGCGTGCGTCGCCCCCTTGCCCCGCCGGCGTCCCCGCCCCCCCCTCCCCGCCCGGGAGACCCCGCGCCCCGGGGAACCCCGCGCGGGGCGCCCGCCCGCCCCTCCGCCTCCCAGGCCCCGGGCTGCCTCCTCGGGCCGCGCCGCGCCGGGCCGGCCGCACTGCGCATGAGCGGGAGCCCGGCGAGCCCGTGAGAGGAGCCGCCGCCGCCGCCGCCGTCCATTCGCTGCGGAGCCGGAGGAGGAGGGGAGAGGCCTGGAGGACACCAACATGGTGAGGCACCCGGCCGCCCGCCCGCCGCCGCCGCGCACCCGCCCGCCCCGCCGCCCCGCGGCGACCCCGCCGCCCCTGCCCGGCCCGCGGCCTGCGCGCCGCTCCCCGGCGGCCCGGCTCCCGCCGCCCCTGCCCCCGGCGCCCCTTCCCGCCGCCGCCGCTACGCGAGAGCCGGGGAGGCGGAGCGGAGCCGGGCCTAGTCGGGAGCCCGGGAGTTTGGGGCGCGGAGCGGGCCCCGCTGCCCTCGCCGGGCCGGGCGCGGGGGGAGGCGTTGGGGCGGGGGGTGGGGGGAGGCCGCCGGCTCCATTGTGTCTGGCCCGGACCGGGTCGCGGTTCCGGGTGCGGAGCCTCCCCCCGCCCCGGCGGAGGGAAGGGAGGACTTTGCCGGGCTCCCCTCGGCCGGCGCCGGCCCCCGGGGCGCGGGCTCTCGGGCGGGCGGGCGGGCGGCTGTGACGGGGCTGGGGGTCCCCCTCCTGCCTCCATCACCGCCCCGCGCGGCCCCCGCGGGAGAGGAGTCCCCGGCCGGCGGCGGGGACGCTATTTACTTCCCGGCGGAGAGCCCCGGGGACGCCGGGCTTGGGGGACCGGGCGGGGGGGGGGGGAGTGCGGGGAAGCGGGGAGTACGGAAGTGCAACCTGTTCTAATTCCCCGAAATGAGGAGAAACAGACTTGCTGGCTTTTGGAGCACATATTTCATGCGCTTGGGGGTGGGAGGAGTGGTTGCTTTATTAACGCCAGTTAAAAAGACCACTTGTGATTTTTTTTTTTTTTTTAAAAAGAACCAACAAAACAGTTAAGTGATTTCCTCCCCTCCCTTTTTGTTTTTGTTTGGGGAATTGTTTTTGCTTGTTTGGGGGGAGGAGGAGGGGAGACACGGACACAACACAGTATGTAACGAGGCGGTCAAGTTATGTTTACATTTTGGAGGTGATGTACCTGGCTGACTCTGTGGGACTGACCCTTTGTGTTTTTTCAGAAGCGATGCTTGTCCTTAAAGCCCGAACCTGGGTTGCATTCCAGGCAGGTTACGGTATGAATGGACAGTAAAAATGATATTGTTGTCCGTGGGCTCACGGGTAGCATAAAGGCCCCTTTGAGGAGGGTGCATGCGTGTGTGTGTGTGTGTGTGTGTGTGTGTGTGTGTTTCTGTGTGTGCGCGCGCGCGAGCGCTAAGGGAATGCCCCAGTGTCTTTTGTTTTTAGTTGGGTCTTATTTCTGCTGAATGACACTTCTCTAAGCCCCAGCTTCCAACGCGGCAACATTTTTGGTGTCCTATAGATAGGCCGCTTCGTGTGCCATGTATTCAAGATTTGTATTCTAGGGGAAATTCCATTACAGATTGGCCGCTCGTGAAGAAAACTTTGTCATAAAGTACAGGTCTTTGTTGGGATTGATAGCACGGCGTTCAAAGGTCCGCTAGGGCGTCTAAGCAGTTTCTAGTTTCTTACGTATTGTGACTGTCATAGACATAACTCCTCAAGTTCCCAGACTCGTGGCATGTGGAGGTATAGGAAGCCTAAAGCGAGGAGATGCGACTCCCTGTGAACACCGAGAGGGCATTGAGATGGGTTCTGTTCTCGGTAACCTCCCAGCCAGCAGCATCCTGTTGAAAGCCGAGGTCCTGAGAATGCGCATCACCTGTTCAGGCATTCAGGTTTCTCCTGTGCTTCACCTGAGAGTTCAGCTTGGATTGGAGCTTGTAAGCCTCTGTCCTTTTGTTAATATTAAGTAGCTAGTTTTGGATCTTAGCCATAACTCATCTAATGATACCAGTGGTGACAAGATATTACTAATTTAAAACACTTCTGCGGCTGAACTCAGATCATGTCCCCAGAATTGTCCTGGTATGCTCCAGTTAGTTTAGAAACTAAATCACCGTGGACCCTAATAGAAGTTAGGCCATAAAAAATTTCTGGTTAAAAATTGTTGGATAAGTTTCTTAAAATTGTTTCTCAATGTAGTGTTTGGGGCTCATGTTTTGTTTTGCTGTGTGTGTAATGCAGCCCATTGCTGGGACACGTGTTGTCAATTTTGGGGCAAGCTTAAATGATGGGATAATTGAAATATTTTGTATAAGAAAAAAGGTTGTTCAGATAACTTTAAAAGTAATTCAGAAAGTTGACAATATTCTGTTACTTCTGAAGATCTTTTAAAAAGTGGTCAGAATTTTGGGGTTTTCTTACTGTAAGATGACATAATTGGATTTGATGAATTCTAAAGTTCCATTCAACTATAAAAATTTTGGTTCTAATGATTTATATATATAATCAATTTTGGTTCTAATGATTTATATGTATAATCAATTTTATTGATTTCAGAGAGGAAGGGGGGGAGAGAGAAAAAGATGCCTCCTGCACGCCCCACACTCGGATCAGCGCCAATCCGGGTATGTGCCCTGACTGGGAATCAGACTGTGACCTCCTGGTTCATAGGCGGAAGCTCAATCACTGAGCCACCCACGTAACTTTTATTAGAGGTGTGAGAAGTGTGTAGACTGTGTAACCTACATATTTTATTCACACTATCATAGAATTTTTAGATCTAAAATGACTCCAGAGGTCATCTATTTACTCCCCCTTCACAAAAGAAGAAATTGAGGATCAAGGAGGTTTTGAGGTTATAGGTTGCAAAATTATTTGTTGTAGAATTGAAACTATTTTCTCCTGGCTTACTATTTCCCCCAGTATTTGTGATACAATAAGTTTTCTGACTCACATGAAATCTTAGAAATGATTGAAAATTGGATTTGAAAATAAAATATATTACTCACTTAAAAATGAAAACCCAAGTATTATTAATGAATATTTTAAATAACAAAATTTAAATGAATGATTAATGATGTTACTGTTTTTTAATTTTTTTTAAATGTGTGGTCTTTGAAATTTAAGATTGTATTTTGAACAAATACCGTTGTTTATAAGTCCGAATGACCATAGGTCTGTTCAAGATTATTTCTTTAAGAACTTGTTTTACATTTGTTTGACTATATATATAAAAGCAAATTAAAGAAGGGCCTTAATTTTGATGATTATTTTTTAAATACCTATTATGTGCCAGCCATTGTTTTAGGCATTGGGGATATGGATGGAGACACACACACACACACACACACACACACACACGCACGCACGCACGCACACACGGGGTTTAACTGAAAGATGAAAATCCTTGCTCTGGTGAGAGCTACATTTTAGTCAGCAGACAGATAATAAACATAGTATATCTTTTTCTTCCTTACTGTGTTAGAAGGTGTTAAATGCTATGGGAGAAAAGCCCTGTTAGGGAGGGGAATTGAGAGTGCTGGGGTGCAGTGGAGTGGGGTTGCAAAATGATATCTTCACTACCAGTGAGGTGAATTTTGAGCAGACTAGGAGATGAATGAGTGACTCCCACAGAAATACAGTGCGGAGAGATTTGAGGAACATTGAGATCAGTGTTGCCGGAGCAGTTTGTATGGGGCTCCTACACACACACACTGTCATATTAGCATTGGAGTAGATGAGGTCTGAGTGATGAGGAGTGGAGATGGGCATGGGTGGGCATTGAAAGGTTATTGGGTTTTTATTCCAAGACAAACTGAAGGATTATTAGTGGTATGATGGGCCTTGTTTCTGCTGTTCTATAGTGTGCTATTGTAATATTATAATAATTATTTTTAAAGCAGTTTTTGAAGACAAAACCCATATTATAGTTTTCTTTACCATGAAGCTTCTGAGAGTTTTGAGTTCTCTTTAAAATGACTATCCAATATTCAGTAAAAACTAGTTGACTGTTTTACCTAGTTAAAACAGCACAGAAATATCTTTCATAGATTGCTTTTGAATATGTTCTAATAGTTTGTGTATAGTTTAATGGCTACAAGCTGAAAACTGGGCCATTGGGGAGAAAGAAGGATATTAACCTTTATTGAGAACATACTGTTTGCTGGTTAATTTAACACCGTTATTTTATTTAATCTCCACTGCAGTTTGTGAGGTAGTTACTGCTACTTCCTCTTAACATATGTGGAAATGAATATTTATTAGTTCTAAATGATATGAGCATAAAGAGCCAGTATGTGGCAGAGCAGGGATTAGAAGCTTGGTCTTTCGTTACACACTTTACCCTCTCCTCTTAAAAAACAAACAACAAACAAAAAACTCAGCAAGCACCCTTTTGGTATAGGTGTGGAATTTTTTTTTTATTACCGTAGTTTTACTCTGGTTTCTTCCTTATATTGGATAGTTGTTTCCATATATTATCAAGCTATCTCACTTAAACAGTTAAGTAATTGAAAAATTAAAACTTTTGGTACATAGAGTAAAAAAGTTGAATGTAAAATGAACTCATTGCAGTAGTGGGCTTCTTTTTAAAATTTAAAACAGCTGAGCTTATTGGAGTCAAGTGGCCTCAGAGATTAGGTCCATAGTGAAAATGTGTGAAAATCCCCCTTTTAAGTTTCAGTATGTATTGTTCATCCTGTAATAGTGTTAGCCATGACATTTGAAGAAGAGAAATAGTTCCAAATAGGATTCAGTTGCTTTGTAGACACAAACAAGCTCTTGAATAACCTGCTGACTATCTAGTTTGCCTCGGCACTTCAGGTGTATACCCCCCACCTAAGAAAAAGCAAAAACGGGAAAAATGTTCCTAAATCATCTTTTATTACTATGTGGAACCCTTTTATATTAATATAATTTGTGTGTAATCAGTGTTTAGGCTGCTTGTTTTCATTGTAAAAACTTAAGGAATTTAAAGAGTTTTTTTCTCTAAAGAACTTAACTTTGGAAAAGCACTCTTATAAATACACTTTTCAACCCTCAACACTGAACCAAGTGTTCAGCAACAGAGATAAGTTGACATGGCCCATTCCTTTGCTATATTTTTCATTTCAATAAACATTTAGAGGCTTATTTATTATTCATAAGATTCCTATATTTCTGAATTTATTAAATATTAGAATTAGGAGACTTGACTTTTTTCAGGGATCGTTTATTCTTTTTATGAAACATTGCGTGACT